GACACTAATGATACACATTTTCACCAGAAAATCGTGAATAGATTGCACAGCGAACAATCAGTTTGGAATGCATTGAGTATACCCCCTGACAGATATTGTACTTATTATAGATGTGCTTTCCTTTGAATACGTTTTTGTCCCATGTTCTCACTATGCTCGACCTGGTTCATTCTTGTTTTCCTCAAATGGATTAATAGTCATGTGATCATTATAGCTAAGACAGTTTTATATTATGATGGACGGCATATGTTGAATTCTCTGGTTCACATAAAATTGCAAAGGAATAGAGGAATATCTATAATTAATATTTGGTAATTGGGTCGGGAAAATCCCCCTGAAGAAAGACAAATAGTCTCCTGGTAACCAGACATTTGAAGCTGAAAAAGGGCAGAATTCCGGATGCAATGTACTAAGGGCATAGTAAGATATCTGAATTTCTTGGATGTATAAAGGATACAGCGGACAGTTTATTTAAATTCTGTTATAAATGAACAGAACATAATTACTAATATTGGGAACAAAAAACGGAAATAACCTAGTTATCATCGACTCGGTTTATTCTCTCACAAAGTTCAACCGATTTTTCATACTACTTAATAGCACCTACTACTGACTAACATGCTATGTCGCAGTTCCTGGAATTTACCCACTTTTTGAATTCTCGAGGGGTGTGACATAGCAGGAGATTGACTTTATAAGCGGTATTTTGGGGGATTCACCAGCTGCCTTGGCTCGAGGAAGTTGTTTCCCAAATGAAAAGACTTACAAAATGACTTACAAAATACAACGGATAAAAGTGGTCCGGCATGTGCATCGGAATGATCTCGCAATCTGGCAGGAGGAAACAACCAGCATATGATCTGAACGGAAGGACAAAACACCACTATCTGACCACATAAACACAAGAAAGAAGGTACCCGACGTTGAAAACCGGACACAGACACGTTTGCAATCCAAAAAGCAACCGACGATCTTCTTTTACACACAGAGATCTTTTACGCCGTGGACAATTGTTGTAAGTTACTACTCGCAGTCGTGAGTAGTATAGTCTTGGATTATGCAAGAGAACGTGGTGGCGAGTTCTTGCAAGGTCAAAATTGATCAAGACCTCCTAGAGCGAATTAGTGTTCAAATTTGTTACTAAATAAAATGCACAACTACCGTTGGACTGCCCCATTGTTTAAGCTGCTCGCCAGTCAGAATTATGATGACCTGCTCCAGATGAGAGATTTCGTTCTATTTAAACTTATTTACCGCCATGGGATATCGTTCTCTGAATAAACACTTTCCTCGCCGCGCACTGGACTAGTGGGATTATAACGCAATCAGCCGTCCCTTTACGATTTCTATCATCTCCTGCATGACTCTCCATGACTCGATGCCACTGCCAAAATAACCTTTTCATTTTGCCTACTCTGTTGTGATTGACTGTAACTTCCTGAAAAATTACATATTCTTCCTACCACAAAAACAGACAGGAGAATCATTGTAAATAACAACAAGGTTGGCACCTATGTCCGATCGCCGCGTTAATTCGCTATAACTTGCTAGATCTTCAAACTCATTCCATTTGTCAGAAGCATTTATCTAAGTGTGCTGAGCAAGCAAATAAATCACATGACCAGCAGCTTATGGTCATGTGATCCAAGCCAATTTACTGCGTTTAACATACCTAAAAGACCCGCTTGTAGTGATGGCCTAGACCTAGTTTACGGTCATTTTGATAACACGTGACCATCCTTGCCCCAGTTAAGCGACATTTGAATTCGCTTCTTTCCTTCCTCGTACCGTTGCACTCTGCTGAGAACTCATGCAAACTGGGTAATGTACGATTGGGTCCTATTTCACGTGACCTGATCTTATGACCTGAAAAAGTACAAAAGAGGAGTAAATTAAATTTAAATTTCACTTTTCTTCCTGGAGAATATTGAATCCAAGGTTTTACGTTCGTCCGTCGTTTCGAGAAAGGGATGAATGAAGATACAATTAGAGAGTGAAGGAGACAAATGTTGAAAATGAGATCCACTTTATGATATAAAATAATCGAAAAATTCCCGGTAAAATAAAACAAACGTAGTTTGTGAGAATAAGAAGGTAACATCAAGTTACGTCCATCAGGTCTGAAAATTCAGTTTCCGATGTGAGGGTAAACTTCAGAATAGCTCATTTCCTGGATTGAACATAATCGAAATTGACCAAACATGTTCGCTCCTCGAGATTGCTCAGTCATACAGCAGCATAAAACATATAACACGAAGACAATTTCTCAAAACCCATTTACTTGTAGGATTCATCATTGGAGATTGTTGATTTTTATCACTTTTGCAAAACGAATACCAATCCATTAAGAGAAAAACCGGTTTTAGTTACAGAACCTTATAGTTATAAATTTTTTAATCCGTGTATGAAATATTTTTGGGTCATCTACACTCTTTCTTTAGTGTGCTTTTCATTTCCTAACAGCTCCAAGTCTAAGCATATGAGGCCATAGTGTCCGATGTTTTGAGGCAGTGTTATGATGACGAACTTCATACGACCAGTCATCATTTGCGTATGAATAGCCAAGCTCTGTTTTACGGGACGTATCTTGGTGTTCTCGTGTTTCAATACTATTATTACCGGCAAATTACTCTGACAAGCAGTAATAAACCATTCGTGCACAGCACTACTGACAGTAAGGCAAAAGAAGCTCGACAGAAAACTTTTTCGTCCTACTTGAAGTTCCTTGCTCTTGTTTGTGGTGATCCAAAGCTGAAGCAACGCTAGCCATGAGGCCGCGCTTTACAGATGTACGATAACCAGTAGGAATACAACAGTCTGGGCCAATAAAATCAAACGCAGCATCGTAAAGAGCATCACAGCAGTAAGATCACGGATAGTAATTGCATTAAAGACTGGCAACCAATCAGTTTCCTTTTTACAGTGTCTGGCAAAAATGACAGAACCTCGTTCAACTAATCGGATTTGGTAACTGAACACTTACAAGTAGTCTGCCAATGAATTTTCTCATTGTTACCCATACGTTGGCTTTGAACATAAATCTTTTCCCTCATCTATGGGGACATTTTTCGTGTCTGTGGAATTTGCGTGAAAAGGTTAGGAAAATGGTATTCAAGTTGTTCGGTAATGGTGTGAATATGCCCCTTGCCAATTTCAAAACCTAACTGTTTCTAGGGAAATAGCTAAGGAAGCCATACGTATTAGTGTAAAAACAGGTCAGAAATTAACAGTTAGGAAATCCTTTTTTCTTCAAATTATTGTTTTTCGCCAATCACCCTGGTGTCGGTTAACATTCGTTTTTGAAAATCCATTCTGTCATTCCAGCTCAATGACTGTAAAGGAATGAAACTGTTAAGGATTACTAGGGTAGTGCGTTAACACTGTCTTCAATGGTTGGCTCTGTTTAGCTTCAGTGTTCATTAGCGGTCTGAGATGCAATCCTGAGGGTGCTCTCATATTTCCATACCTCACCTAAAAGAACAAGGTGACCATTTCTGGGGTATAACGGGTTATTTTAGCATCATTGGGCCGTTTGTAAACAAGCTTCTTGAGCGTGGCTGCCGGCTAATTGACGTTTTGTAAACATTATCGCGTCCGATTGCCCGACCCATAATAAAATACAGACATCCGATGGTGAAAATCGTGGAGGTCTCATCAGATTATTCGTTACCGCTGATCATTTGTCTGAAGACAAACAATGACCATTTGTAGGGTCGTGGATAATTGAAACTTATTCTTATCTTCATCTATCTCTTCAGCTGAAGTATCATAATAATCTCCCGGGTGTAATCAGGCTGTGAAAAGATGCAATGAGGATGATAAACGATGCAACCAGGATAAGATCGTATGCGAAGAAGCCGAGTATCAATGGAACAAACTGCAGGTGTCAGGTTGTTATCACCGGCATTGCAAGTAGAATGCAGTAGTCAATCCAGAAATCACATTGAATGAATCTAGTTTCCGTTGAGCAGTATATGAGTTTAATTTTATTCTTCCCATTCAGGTGGAATTCTGTGAATCTTTTCTATGTAGCCCTGTACCACTGTTAAGCATCTTGCCAGAAATATGTGGGCAATCACCTTTGGTTCAAAAGAAAAGATTTCATTCGATGAGATCTAAACCTCAATGCAATTTACTCATGAGGCTAGTGAGAGCTTAGACTGTACCCACTCATTTATTAAATCATGTCAACTTTCAAGCTTGAGTTTATTGGCCGAGTAATCGATCCTTCTTGACGTTATTCGCTTCCTAACCCGGCCAGCCGAGGTTACTTACCGCCGGTTTCGTTCATTAGTCCAAGGCTAACTAGATCGGCGGTCAAGGACACAAGGTTCTGGGGTTAAGGGACGAACGGTTAAATCCGACCGATCCCAACAAACGCTGTCAAAATGGCTAAGCCCCTCACCTGAAAATTATATTTAATTCACTATATAGAAATGATGTAGATATGTAGATCATTTCGAGCGGACGGAACGTTGATAAATCCGGTCCAGTTGGTGGTGTGCGAACCACAAGCAACCGAACAATCTGTGGTGCATGAAAAAACAGTTGGTTAGACTCACGTGAACTAAAAGTGGAAACATTTAGGTTATCAAGGAATTGCAACAAAACCAAAATGAGTTGGAATACGTTGGACGATAAGTGATAAAGAGCAAAGGAATAGACATGATAACATCTCCTCATTAACATAGACAAAATCAAAATCAAAATCGTCATAAAAAATCGTAAGCAAAATCATTATGAAAACCATCAACATAATCAACACAATCAACAAAATAAGCATAAGGAAAATAATCAAAATCGGCATAGCAAAAAAATCATACATTATCATCATCACCATCATCATCACCATCATCATCATCATCATCATTATCATCATCATCATCATCATCATCATCATCATGATTCCAGTCCTCTCCGTTATAAGCATACCGGTGAGCTCCTTCATTATCATCTTCCTAATGATCGGGTTCAACTTTGTTGTGCTCATTTGTGTTGTCTTATTCATCTTCATCAGCTTCAGGTTTATCATCTCCAATCTGTGATTTTTCTTCAGCTTCATCTGTGTCTTCCTCATTTTCATGAGCATCATCATCCTCACGATCTTCATGTTTCTGATGAACATTATCCTCATTATCATCTTTTGCGTGATCGCCGTACTGTTCACTATGCTTGTCTTNCATTCTCCATAAATGTACTCAAACCGTTTTCTTTACTAGTGCTCAAGGTTTTCATTTCTTTCACGACTTCCCGCATGTAGTTCAACATTTTTTAAATTTACCTCATTTCAAAAGTGTGTTTCCAGCCTTTTTCGTGTTTGTCAACTTTGTCGGTTCTATTATATGAATTTTATTATTTTTTTCTCATTTCCCAGCTGACTTTGACACTGTAAGTGAGCCTGAATTTATGCATTTATCCTTCGGTGTGCACACAGATTTTCAATGTAGCTGAGCTCAGCTCTTTTAGTTTGGCTTTATTCAATTCCCATCACAAAATTTCCCCTTGGTCTCGGAGATTGGACAGTAGAGAAGACACCGGAAATTCCTTTTCTATCGCAAACTAATGAAATTTGAGAAAAGCATGGCATGATGCATCATAATTGGTTATTCTAATTTTACAATTACAATTTTCTGGAATTACTTTGAAGTTTCGGTCACAAAACGTGAATCTCTTAGAACCTTTACAAACATGGGCTCCGTCTATTAGTGGCCCACTGACATGAATTGCCTTATTTATTCACATTCAGTTTCACGGTTCATGTAGTCGGGGTCTTTCTGTTTTCTTTGCGGTTTCCATACTCTGGAACATTTTCAACACTGATATGCTGAAGACTTGTGGTTGACCCCTCCCCCCCAAAAAAATATGTCAAAAATTGTGCCCAGTGACCGACTTTCAGATACTTTTTTCTTTCCTAATGTCCGGAAGCGAAAGCAAATCTCAGACATGGGGGCTCTCAAAGAATGGGATGCGAAAACGTTTAGAGACACCTCGAAGCACAGACATCACAAATCAGACGATGCATTTATAATATTCGTTTTCAGTTGCGAATAAAGCAGATTCTGTGCATCGAAAACAACCATTGATAATTAATCTCCTTGAGTAGTTGTCTGATCAAAATCCATACCGAGCTCAAATGTGTGATCATTTCAGAGACAACATTATTATTTCTCCCAAATTAATTTATTTGCACAATATATTCGGTCAATATTTGAAATAGTCTCCAAGCTTCAGCAATATCACTATTTTAAAATACAAGAACGCCATCCGGGAATATTTTGGCGATAAGTCTTAACACTAATTACTTTAGGAATCACAAAATAAAAATTGAGAAGCTGCCACTTTGATACATCTCTATATGCTGGTTGAAAATCTAATAGAGCAGAATTTGAATGTTTCAGTGTTTTATATAAATTGTAATTTTGAAAACAGCGATGTCGGTACAGGTGAAAATAAGCCGAGGTTTCGGTTACCCTGGCTAACCTTTATCAAGGCGATTTTACAATCAGTATTTGTACTTTGACTACTGTGGTAATACGAGTAGTTTGATTATAAACGACACTATCTATCGACTGCGTCAACATATGACAAATGACAATCCAAACGGCGAACGGGTATTTAATCAATGACTGCTTACTACTGTTGTTTTTCTGTTATTGTAACTGTGCAGTTCCGGCTTGATTTTATTGTATCATGATTTTAAGTCATTCTGTACTGCTACGCTTAAATTTTTTGCGTACGCTGGCGTCAAATCACGTAGTCCTAAGTCCGTAATGAATTTATCTTTTATGGTTTGATTACCCAATTTGTAGAACCACGGTTCACGTAGAAATACAGTAGATCAGCCCCCTTACTGCGTCCGCCCATGCCCCGAGTGACACTAGCCGTGATAATTTGTAGTTTACCGCTACCGCAGCTAATTTGATTCCACATTGGTCGCCACTCGTTTTTCTGCAGTATTCTGTTACCTGGCGATTGGTGAACTTCAGCCACCACACGATCGCATTCATCATCTTTCTGCGAACCAGGTAAACGACATTCAGGCAGACAGACATTTCTTTTTTTGTTGCTATCTGCGTAACTTTTGGTGCACATATTTGGAATGATCAGAGAGACCTTGTTGCATGTATATTTGTCGACTCGAGCTGAATTCAAGGTACCTCACAAAGTGAATTTCTAGGTTTTAAAATGCAATATGTTGAATTTTATGTCGCGGAAATAAAGAATCTCCCTGTATATCTGTTCCGGTCTTGTTAATTTTTCGTTTAACCAACCGATGTGAAACAATTAAAGATTGTGTTGATGTGTACATTATATTTTATATTATTGGAGGTGTAGAGTAACTCGTACTACTGATCCGATAGGCCGGAATAGGTGTACAGGTAAAGCAAGCTATGTGTTTGAAACCTGAACATAGGGAATATTACCTATTCCCCAAGTTTAGTGAAACAGTCCATGCGAAGACTGAGAGCAACTGTGGATAAATGATATAAAAGAAACAGGATCAAAACAAGGATGAGGCAAGAATTTAGAACGAACGGGGACGCTGTGCTCGTCGACAAGGGATGTGATCCAAGTCGATCTTTGTGAGGGGATGAGGGTGGAGGTGAGGGTGGGAGTGGGTAAAATGATCCGTTTCAGTGAACTATCAGAAGCCGAATTCGAAAAAAATAAACAAAGGATTAGACACAACTGATTAACTGAGTAGACAACAAAATGATCTGTATGTTTCATTAGTGAGGAATAAAATTACTAATACCAAGCTTTTGGGTGCTGGATCTGTAAATCTCATACAGGATTGTTTGGTTACATATCAGTTACTAGATGTGCACAAATCTAGTGCATAGTATAAATAAGAGAAATCTAACAATTCACGACTCTGAAAGGGGAAAGGAAAAGACCAAAAAGCGATGTGAAAGGGATCGGTAGTGCTAGTGCAACAATGTTGAATCCCGAAGAATAACAATTAAGCATTCGAATACTACATCACATATGCTAGTTGAATTATGTTACGGGCATGTAGTTCAAGCACAATGTACACAAAGTTGGCGGTGTGCGAAAATGGTGAATGCGGATACAAACATCTACACATACCAATGTATGCAGCTACGATCACAGGGTTTGAAAATGGGGGAAAAGTGAAGAACCGAAAATGCAATATGTGGATAAATTGGACCGCACAAAATTGTGTGCATGTGTCGATATGTACGTATGTCTTTGAGCACAACAGCGTTTCTGGGTTCGCTTGTGTGATACGGACTCAGGTTCCGAGATTAGAAAAAGCGCCACATGTATGTGGACGAAAATATCCCTCGGAAAACCTACTGAACGAGACAGGACAAGATAGAGAGAGAGAGGGATAACCGCACCATGCATCTTGCTCTGTTCCTGTAATTCATGATTCCACCGCTGCTATAGTAACAGATTTGACGGATCCAGTTCAACCCAGACACCAATAGATGTGGTCAACAAGGCAAATGAAACAGCTGCACGAGCGTGCTTATACAAACAGACTTAAAAAAGTAAAATTAAAGGCCAAGTTTGGTGGGAGTAGAGAAGGAACGGTGAAGCGTGGGATTTGGTGCTCAATCCAAGCGTCTTTTTTATCCCGATCTCTTCTTGTATATCTCTCTATTTCTTTCTCAATCTCTGTGATGGAGAACCTCGTCCAGGGTACTTTTGTGCCACTTTGAACTGATTTACGGACCACTATATATATATATATATGCAGCGCGACAGTAAGAAATTAAACTTTAAAAAAGTGATTCACTCTTGCTAGAACTGCCCGAGCATATAGAGGGGACGGTGTTCGGAAGCATTGACAGTTTATGCAAAAGACCCTAGGCTGAGGAGAGGCTGGGGTAAAAGTTAAGATTGGAAATCAAACCCAAATAGGGTTTGCTGCTGCTGCTGCTGCTGATATACAAACACGTGGTAAAACACAGCTCATTTGTTCGAGAATGAATGAATGATAAAGAAGGCAAGATAAATTAACCAAAAGGTGAAAACAGTTTCCGACACTGGAATAATGGCATTCACAGTATTAAGATTATGTTTAGAAAAAGAAAATCGAAAATAAAACGAACATAAAGGCAGCTTTCATTCCTGAGCCAGATGAGTTTCTGTTGATTGAACAATGAACAAAGACGTGATAAAATGGTATAATTTCGAAGAAGAAAAAAGATGAAATGTGTTTTGTGCCGGCAATTTTGGAAATGACTGAATTTTTGACTGACAGTTCAAGTATAAAACCGGGGATCATATACGGAGAATGAGAACAGGAATATTTTGACGTATTCATGGAAGTAGCGATACAGGTTAATACTGTTTGTACGAGAGAAGTATACACATGTATAGACAAGGGTTCCGGGTCTATAATCCTTTGCGGTTCTGATGATCCGTAAGAACAATATTCGGTTTGGAAGTCACTCGTTGAAAAGGACGGAATGTGGTACCAGAGCTGCACAAAAAATGACCAAGGTTCAATCTGGTCGGTCGGTTTGGCGTGGTAAGGCTGAACGAAACACGCTTCCTGAAAAATCCGACCGATCTACGTTCGGAATTTGTGGTTAGGGAATATTCATCAACCAGGTCAGTTTGACAGTGTTGGTCCAGTAGTCTGTCAACACATCGATCGACCGATTGGGATCTGGGTCCACGTAGAAGGCCCGCTTTTATGCCCTGCTCTTTTTCCACTCCCCTGGATCTTGATAAATCCAAACTGCCTACCGTATAGGAAGACTCACTGCTTAGTCGGATTCGTGTACGTGGAGGACGTAATGTGTCTGTTTGATTACTGCGAATCGGTTGCATTGCATCATCCGTCGATTGATTTAGCCAACCGGCCAAGCCGTTCCATGAGACGTTCAAATCCGTGTTTCCTCGAAGTTGTAATGAATCTTTCAAATGATCATTCGGTCCGGTGACCAGTTTTCGTGGTGTGGCCGTTAAGGGTCGACTGGTTGTGACTTTTGCACCACGGAGAGTTGCATGGATCGCAGTCGCTTCATGCCCACCCATCCATTTTGGTGTTCGTTTTGTGCGTGACAAGTCTGTTTGGATCGGCATACCTGCGTGATTCGTCCCACTTTTTGTGCGTGATCCGTCCACTATTCGAGTGGATGAATTCCAGTTTAAATTTTGACTAGTACCCACTTTGGCAATGAACTGGTTGCATGTGAGTTTCGCTGTGTCGCATTTATCCTTGTGCAAATCTCTCTGCATGGGGAAAAACAAATAGAAGTAACGGTATCGGTTAGTGTTTTGTCATCTAAGTTGGTTTTAATTAAACAAGTAGACAAATAAAAGACCACAAACAAATATACCGTAAAGAGATAGACGTAATTTGTTGGAATTCAGGAGGCACAAAGCTTGGTGTCAGGGTAACGCCTGGCAAACGTGGCAGTAATATTTTATTGTGAGTGCCTGTATCTCACTGAGAATTTGTGGTTCATCACGTTTTGTTTGCTTTTCCTTGCACGAATAACTTCAACCCCGACCCATGGAGAACCTGTCAGGCAGTTTTTCATTGTCACCCTGTCCCACCCCTCTACCGCCTTCCCCCGTCATCGTTCGTCGCACGCAAAGCCTCGAGTTGTCTCCAGCTGCAAGAACACGAGCTTTAGGACATCCTGTCGTGCATCTCTCACCACTCCGCTGTGCGCGAGAGCCAGGAGTACGTTCGCATTACATCAGTTCGTGAATGCCTGAGGCGTCTCTTGTAATTGACAGTCTTCCGATCTCACAGGAAAGGGCATTTCGAGTGGTCTATTTACAAATAATAAAACGTAATTAAATCAAACTATTGAGCTTCATTTTTAGAGCCAATAACCATGCACTTTCGTGCACCGGTTTCGGATAAAAGAGCAGAATGAAGATTGTAATGTTTACAGCAGAGTCAAAAGAAAGCTAGAGAATCCATATAAAGAATACTGAGTAGATGCGTGAGCGCCACAGCTTGCGACAGTCAGGCTTATCAGTGGGAGTCTCTAACCCCCAGTTAACGTGATCTCGGGGAGCCTAAGGGGACCTATGTGACCCAGTGTCCTGGTTAGGATTTTCGTATCGTCATGCCAGATACTAGTTTGACCGCCGCTGACCTATGTCCATCCAATTCCTGCCTCGACAAACATCACTTGCTGTGGCAACCTATTTGGTGTCATGCGCGGCACATGTCCCAACCAGCGTAGTCTATGGAGGTCGACCACTTGTTCCAGTGGACAACCGCGATTACCTAAAACTCTAACCTCAGCATTGCTTGTCCGGTTTCCCCACTAGACTCATGCAATGCGGCGTAGACAGCAGTGTTTGAACACCGACAATATATTTTATCCTACTGGCGTAATATTTGGGTTTCTGAACAGTAGAATAGGAATGGCCTAACTGCTGCAGCATGCACTCGTCCCTTCACGAACAGTAGGACGTCTCTAGTTAGTAGTTGCCAAACCAGCCTTTCTTTATGTGTGCCGAAAATTCATCGGTGACTCATCCAACAGGTAAGAAACAACGGCCCAGATAGCAAAATTTCTTTAATTCCTGTACTCCTTCCTCATTCACCGTCATCATCATCATCATCATCATCATCATCATCATCATCATCATCATCATCATC